GTATTTTATGAAAGATTATTTTTTAATATAATTTCTGGTATAATTATACATCTTTTGAGTACATTTCAGATTACGATAAAAGAAATATCTAATAATGATAATGAAGCTAGATCTAGTTGTTTCCAGCAATATGCATCACCATTGATGAATAGTGATAAAATTGAAAGGTTTGTGCGAATTAAATGTGAAGGTTATATTATCATGTGTAAGTTTTGATTTTATGAATTAGCATTTAACAATGAAAAATATTAAATATTAATTGATTATATGGTACCTAAATATTGTGATATGGCATGAAATTAAATGTAAGAAATAATATATAAGAAAATCAAAACTTTTTACTGAGTTCCATAGCAAAAATGAATTATTAAAATATTCTAAAACCGTTGTTCATACTCATGTAATGCTGTGCATCTTATATTAGTTAAACATGAAAGGAGTTAGGACCGCCATGAAAAGTGCTGATAGCATATCACAGGACAAACAAGTGCACATTCGATTGTACTGTAGTAAGTAACCAATAGTTTGTAAAGATACAATTTTTTTGAGAAAAAAAATTGTTTATATAAATTAATAATGTTGTATCAACGAGTATTGATATATAAATATTCCGATTCCTGGTACTTAAATACAAGAATTATTTCCAAGACCATGATGGGTATGATGGGTATTTGGCAATACTCGAAATAACTGTATGGTCAGCCAAAAATTCAATTAATTAATATAATATAAAATGAATTTTTGTTGTTGTAGTTTAATACTGTTCGAAACACTACATTATAAATATACATAGCAAATTTTTTTCTTGAAAAAAAAAAAATGTTTATATGAGTTAATAATGCTTTATTGCTGATATAAGTTTTGATATATACAGAAACACTCTTTTTTTGGGGAGTTTCGTTTAATTAAAAGTATATTATAAGCTTTCTGTTTTATTGATATGGGTGTTGGAGGTAGAAAGACTCACGAGGAAACCATTTCAGATTGATAGTGTTATATTTCAAATACTTTATTTTAATAATAATGATATTTTAACAAGTATGTTATATGATTATAAGTATCTCTTTGGTGTTTCTCGTATAAGCCCATATATATCAAATGTGTATGATCTTATGTCGTATATATATCATGAATAAAAAGATAATTTTTTTTCTTTTTTTTTTAGTGCTGCATTTAACTGAAAGTCAATGTGCCTGAAATTCATTAATTTGTTTTATATAAGACTTACAAAGCAATACCTTAAAAAACAAAAATGATAAAAAAAACATTGGCAAAAAGGCTCTCAGCTGGCGGTACCTGATAAATTACAAGTGATATATAGAGACAAGTTTTACAAAAGTTTTACAAGTTAACAAAAGAATTCCATGCATGTGTTCAGATATGTTATCTTTAAAGAGTGCTTTATGCATGCATCTATTTCTTAATATAAGGCTTTTCTAAAAATTCAAAAAATATCATGCCATAACATTCAAGAAAATATATTTGTGCAGCATTCAAGTTCAAAGACGATAAAGTGGACTTCCTAATTATGTATTGTGCCCTTACTTTATTAAAAATATTTTGTTTATTTATATTTTATTAATTAAGAAAAGGTCGCAAAAATGTATGTTTTTTTTTATAATACATCTAGTTAAAAGAATAATATATTTTTAAAATGATTGAAGTTCAATTAAAATATGTAATAGATTAGAAAAAACTAATAAAACTCAATTACAGTGAATCAAGTATTTTAGTGCACATTAGAAAATTCTTACTATTTAAGTTTTACTAAATAGCATCAGTGCTAAATTACTTAATTAGTTGTAGGCTCCGATTTAATTTTTTTTCTTTCACAATATTTTAAAGATATATAATTACAAAAAAACAAAAAACAAAAAAATCAAATCTTATTTAGAAATTTATAATTTCAGAATTGTTCCAGAGATCATTTTCTGTCCTTATGAATTAATGGGAAGTTGTGCGGACCTGGAATGCAAATTTAATCATTTTAACGAACAAACATAAAAAAACAACCAGAAAAATATTTTTCTTAGAGATACTCTGTTGTGATAAGTGATGATTGTATATATTCATGCGATCTCAAGTGATACGAATCCAATCCAATAGATAAAAAGACTTACGAGCTTTTTGATTTTTGGGTAAGTATAAAACTGTATAGAACAAATTACTGAATGTATATACTAAATTCAGTACCACAAAAAAAAAAAAAAATAAAATAAAAAAAAACAAAAAAATAATAATAAAAAAAACCAAAAGAAGGAAAATAATTAATCGATAACCGGGATGTACCTAACAAAGTAAATGGAAAAAATATATTATATAAATTGGAGAACTACAGTACAATTAAAAGCTATTGTATTTCATTAGCAAAAGTGATTATAATTCAAAATTCTTTAATTTGTTTGCAACTTTGTTTTAACCAATAATTTTAAGTTATATGTGCATTTATCTAAATTCGCAACTCATTTTTTATTTAAATTTTAAAACCAATCACAATCGAAAATAATGATTTGATTGCTGCAACGTTATTTTAAAAAAGTTTAATATTTAATATTTTATTCCAACGATTCTTTGTATATGTGCCATTTTATTAATTGCATTCATTTTATGTCACTTTTATTTCTTCCTAATTTTATAAGTCTTTCTTTGTCAAAACTTGAAATTATAGTAATTTGATGACATCAAAGACTGTAATCATATCCTTGCAAAATAGATGCACATTTATTTTAACAGATATTGATTTATGTTTTAAAATAGTTCTAAGTAAATTATATATATATTATAACGTTTTGTTAAATTAAAAACAGTGTATAAAGTTTTTATAATAAAAAGTTATTTAATAAAGAAAAGAAATATATATATATTCAATAAAAGAAATTGTTTTATTTTGTATTTATTACATTAATTGCAGATAGGATATATTATTGCTCATATAATTGATAATTTTATTAAATATACACATGATAATTTATGTCCTTATGAGTTAATGTCATAATAATTAATGACATAAATATATACTTTTTTCACAGCCAATTTCTCATAATAACTAAAACAAAATCCTAAAGAAGTCCACTAAAACTATTAACATTTGTAAGAGCATTTTAAATATACTTTGCATAATTTATATAGAATATATGTGATATAAATGGTTGTTTATGATAGATTGTACATTGCACTCTTAAGAAAGTTGCGCAGTTACTTGGGATAGTACACATAATCCCGGCACCAATATCTGACTTCGTCTTCGTTTGCACAGCATAAAGGATATACAATATGTGATTTGGTTATTTTTGCACAGCGCATGCAAAGTTCCATGGTTTCCATATCAGCATCGCACATTTTTACTTTTTTCACTATTTCAGGAGTTAAATTTCCATAATATTCGTTTGGATTGGATAGAAGTTCGGCATCATCTAATTCTAAGTCTGCAGATTCTGATGGTCTGGCAGTTATCATAATATTGCTGTTGTATGTTAAAATTATGATGATGAGCGAAACAAATCCAAAATACTGCAAAACAAAAAATTTTTTTTTTTAAAATAAATAAAATTTTTTTTATTTTTGTTTTTTAAATATATATAAAATTATCAAAAAAAAAATTTTTGCTAATATAATGTAGTAAGATATTGAAAAATTTCTTATTATGAAATGGGCTGACTTATAGATGATATTAGGTTTCAATAAAATATTATTGAACAAAAGTTAATTATGAAGTAAACCCTTTCACTTTACTCAAATATGCAGTCAGCGCTAAACTTACTACAAGTATGTGCTAGAAGCATTCATGCAAATAGAAAATTTTCAAAACTATTAGTGTTATATCCTTCACTATGTTGAGGCTAGTTGAGTTGAGTCAGTGCACCTGAGCACTTTTACTCTCTATTAACTGCGAGGTTTCTACAAAACCCCTCTCTGCGCCTTGACTGGATTTTTGTTTATCACTTCATTAGACTAAGCAATAATTGACTTCAGATCTGCATATCTCCCCGAGGAGCCTGTAACCATTCTGAGATTTATATCCTTCAATAATCCACTGTTAAAAAATTATAAAATACAATTGGAATTAAAACGGCATTAACAGGCATTTAGGACACAAGTAAAAACCTTGATTTAAAATCAATCTAAAAATGTTAAGTTGCTGGAGGATAATACTTGGTACTTAAACCCTGAAACTAATTGTAAGGTGTTTACTCAATACTTAAAAGCAAAGCATGCTACCTACCAAAAGAAATAATTTTAAAGGATTATAAGCTGATGTTTAGTCTAAAGTACGGGTCTTAATCGATTTGAAGTATCTCAAAACAATTTTTAAGATTCGCGTAATGAAATAATTAGTTGAACATTTTGAATATAATTATATATCTATCATAATTATTGGATAGGAAAATGATTTCGTACCATTAATGTTAGGTGCCCCAGATATAGATTTTTTTGATATATTTGATATTTTATCTGCAACCTCAAATCTGCTCAAATCTGCAACCTATTTTTTCTCTGGCAAGAACGGGTAAAAGTTCCAAAATTGGGGTTTACAGGGTAAGAATTTTGTGTCTATAAAAAATTTGCCTTGGACATGTTTTTCCAAACTTTGCTCCTTTTCTATTAAAAAGAAGAATTTTTCAAATATTTTTAAAACAATTTTTTAAGGTTGATTTAAAAGGCAAACTGTCTCTGCGAAAAAGAGTAGGAAATTTAGGTAAGTAGATGTAAGGTGAAAATGTTTATCTATTCAATTGAAAACACGAAACTCGTGTCTCTAAAAATAAATGTTTTTTATTAATCCTCTAAAATCTTAATATTTGAACTTTAGCCTGTTATTGCTAAAAACTCAAGATTTCTAGAAAAGATGCGGATTGGATATTTTGAGCTTAACGGATCCAAATTAATCTAAAACTGGTGAAAAAAGGAATGATTTAGTTTTTATGGCACAATGTAATTTATATGTACAATATGTTATGTACTAAAACGAGACTGTTTTATAACGGAAAAAACTTAAAACATTGTTTTTTCCTAACGAACACCTAGGAAAGAAAGTGAAATGGATTAGCAGACACTTCACTAAGAAATGCCGTTCGAAGAGAATTAGAACATTCTAGAACCGCATTGGAGATGAACAAATTTATAATGTAATTGTTAGTATATAGTTTTACCTATCGCATTTGATGGATTTGGAAATTCATCAGTGCAATTAAAATGAGACGATTTATATAGTTTTTCGCAATTATATTGTATATTAAAAAATATAAAATAGGACAATACATTTTATTAGAATTGGAAATATTCTTTAAATCGTTGTTTTATGAGGACAATTGCTTCACATATATATGCAATATATCGAACTCTTAAATTGAAGCTGTAAAAAATATCAATAATAACACCGACCTTATTTGTGCTATCAGAAACAACTGCATACGTTTTTTAAACAAAATTAAAATTATGTGGGTTCCTGGGCACGCAGGAATTAAAGGAAACGAACTAGCAGATCAAGCTGCCTCTGCCGCCATTCGCTCTCCCTTATTCTTTTTCCAGACATCCGAAAGAAAAGACGTTTTAAATTTTATAAACAAACATATGGTAGACGAATGGGCTATGGAATGGTCAGTGTACAACCATCGCTACAAGTCGATCAATACCAGTGGTTTAAAAGCTATATACCCACAATCATGCACTCGTCAACAATGTAAGATTTTTATCCGATTGCGTATGGGACATTCAAAGCTTTTTCATGAACATCTTTTAAGTGGCGATCAGCCATCAAACTGTCCATTTTGTAATAGCACACCATCCATAGATCATATACTTAACGATTGTCCTTCTTTTAATTCTATTCGTAGTAATATCTTTCCTAATATCTTACCTACTAGCCTATTAAAAACAATTACTATTGAAAACATACTTTTAATTTATAAATATATTAAAGCCTGTAACCTAGTGAATAAAATTTAATTTATAATATCCGAGCTGAAGGCCCTGGCAGCTAGCGCTCGTTTTTCTGGTCTTAGTTATAAGATTTTATATTTTGTAATTAATTATAATAAAATAAAAATAAATAAAGAACTCTTAAACAATATATATATTAATATATATATTATACATAAAAAAGCGTATATTAAACTTTATTTCATAGTTAATTATTTTAATTATATAAGTAGGACTTATGCGTAATTGAATTATTAGTTTAAAATTGTGCTTTGCAGAACCTAAAGATATAATTGAAAAAAATGTGTTTATAAAATTAGTTATACTTTCCAATTTTTATTTTTTATTAAATATTTCAATTTTAGTAATTAATTTATTTTTTATTTATTTAATTCATATTACATAGTAAATCAATTACTATGAAATACATTATCATTTATTTGATGGAGTAATTTTGAAAAATATTTTTCAAAAAATTTTAGATTATTTTAATCACTATTAAAAAATACAAATTCGTACAAGTTTCCTATAATTTATATTTAAATAATTTATACACAAAATAACTATTCAAAATACATCACTATTAAAAATACAAATTCATGTAAGTTTCCTATAATTTATATTTAAATAATTTATATACAAAATTTCAGAAGATATTTATGTTCACATTTTTTTATTTAAAATGAATTTGAATATTTAATTTCAATAATTTAAAATATATAAAACACTTTTAATAATTACACTTACTTGATACATTTTATTTGTATTTTTTATTCGATTTTAAATTTTCAGTTTTATTCGATTTAAACTATTATTTTAATTATAACCGCTATTTCTCAAAATAAATATTTCCATATAGAATTTCTTGAAGAGATGCAAGCAAGAACATTTCTTAACTGAACCGTCTGCGAGCTTGTAAAAGCTTTTTATTAGATTCAAAAAAGTTCGAACATAAACGAATTCGTCTAGCTTCGAAATGTAAAACTGTTATAAAATCATTTATGAAATTCGAAATTAAATTATATAGTAAATAAAACCATTACGAGAACAACGAACAAAAAAAAACAAACAAACAAATTGCTCACAATTACAGCCAATAGTAAATCGTAAATTTGATTTTAGATTGTAAATTGTTGTTATTGTGAATTTGTTTAAGTACTTGAAATTGAGTTCGATTGTTCTTATAGACTGACTTTTCGAAAAACAGTCCAAAACTATGAATGCCACAGTGACCACATTGACCACATTTTTCTGTTACCAACACAACACGAGTCCTAACCCGATCGTCGACAAACAGTGACTGATAATACAATGTATATATTTATAAATTGTAGTGGCATTCGCTAATCAATTCGTAAGACTTCGAATTCGGTAGAGATATAGGTGTGCTGTGTTGTGCTCTCCGTGTTCGGGTACTATTTGATAAGCTCGGTTTTGTTTACTTCACATTTCTTATTTGTGTTTTAATTGTACTTATTAAGAGCATCACTACAGTACCATCTCCCAGTGCCACCCACTGCTGTTGATTTCACGACAATTACTAATATTGGTCCAGTGGGACAATTAACTGATAACACAGAGCATGGTCTTATCAATGAACCGTAAATATATTGTTTTTTTTAGTAATTTGTATATTTAGTACAAACATTTTCTCTATAACAAATCCAGTCTACAATAGAAAAATTAGTTATTTTTACTTTTATAATGCAGATAACATTCTAAAATTACTTAACATTAATAGTTTAACTTTTATTTAATCACTTATTATAGTTGATATGTAGGCATTAAATGTTAAACGTATTTTTCATTTATTTAATGATACTATATTTAATGATGAACAATAATATAAGTTCGACCATTGAACAAATAATGCTTTTAATTAAAATCAAATGGAAAATTTTTTAAAGAAAGCTAAGATATGTGAAGAAATGATAACAAATGATATCTATTATCAGCAACGATGTTAAACAGGTGTTATTACCTGGCTATCATAATTAATATAATTTATCATGGTATCGAAAATCCTTAGAGGAACTAATCCTAACGTATAACTGCTATAGAGTTCTTCAAAATACTGGTTTAAAATTTCCAATCATGTATACTTCGATGTTTTTAATATCTGCTACCAAATTTCTTCTTTTAGCTAGAACGTCTTCTTTATTTCTGGAAGAAGAAGATAGCTTTCTTCTTTGTATAATGGAATTTCAAGTTTCAAACTCTGTTTTACACCGGCACGTTTCACGTTTATTGTGTTCTACTTTTCATTTTATTATGTTTTGTTTTCTCTTTATCACTGTTTTTGTTAAAGATAACTTGAAAGATACTAAATTAAGGATAATTTCATATATTTAAAAAGGTGCTTCGTCTTGATTATAAAATAAATTAAACTGAAATATATAACATTATTTTAATAATCATTACTTAATAATCATTATTAAAAATATTTAATACATATTTTGCGATCTATTTCTAATATCTTATTTAGATATATGGCATACAGTCATAATTTTTATATATATAATAATTTATTTAAATTTATACATAATTTATTTCTGTCATTTTAATATACAAAGTTGACTAGTTTCCCATCAGCGATGTTGCATCAATCCAGCCATTTTGATGTAAAAGAATGTGTGGCTGATCAATTTAATTGTGTGGTGAAATTAATATAATTGTGTGGTGAAATCAATATAATTGTGTGGTGAAATCAACGTAATTGTGTGGCATAATCGTTATTGCTGCTACAAAGCATCCAAAAGTATCAACAAAGAACCAAACAATTCAAATAAAAATTATTTTTATTTATATATATTTCATTATTGTATTTGTTTTCAAATGATAATTAAATTAATATTATATATTATATAAAAAAGAAGTACAAGGAATTTATATATAAAAAACACACAAAATTTTTATAATATATTGAGGTAAAATACAGCATAAAGCAATAAATTTCACACATTGATTTCTTAAAGCTGTAAGCTAATGGATTGTGATTCTTTTAGCATCGATGCCACTGTAAGCTGATGGATTGTGATTCTTTTACAATCGATGCCACTGTAAGTTGATAGATTGTGATTCTTTTAGCATCGATGCCACTGTAAGCTGATGGATTGTGATTCATTTAGCATCGACGCCACTCTGAGCTGCTGAATTGTAATTCTTTAGGCATGATTGCTACTGTAAGCTGCCGGGATGTGAAAGATTTATTGCCATTATTTCTTATCATGTATAATATTATATAAACATATCAAATGATTGAAAAAACAGTTTTTAAATATAATTTATCCACATTTTAGTTTTCTTCTAAAATATTATGTTTAGCTTCCACTTCAAAACATTTTAGATTCAATGCTGTTGTGAATGTTGAATAAATATCTTTATTGTTGTACTATAAAATTCATTCTCCAGAATATAAAGTATATACTGAAGAATCTTGGTAGAACAATACATGATTCTTTTGCTCCATTCAATGTGCGATTTTGATCCCTGGCGAGGAGTTCAACCAGCAATATTATTTACAGCTGATGACTATATTAGCTACTTTCTTCAGTGCTCCTTAACATTTTTTAATCAACTGTATTGATTGTTCCTTGATTTTTGAGTTTATGAAGAGTAGGACATTTACGTTTCAACAACAGTTTTGAATTTGTATGAAAGTTCTTACCTTGTTTGTTTGGAACATCTCTTACAGACTCTTAGAAATGTTTAGGCGACTTTGGACCAATTATTCCTATTAAGGTATGTATAAAAATAGTTTAGTTTTTGTTTCTCTCAACTTCAATTACAATTTAACAATTTTTAGGATTGCATAGTTTACAAAATCAAAGAAAAAAATGTTTATTGTGAATTATCTACTCCATGTTTACAGATTCAAAACTTTTCACACATCTTATGTTAATTACGTTTTTTTACACTTAAATACATAGCGTGAATTTGTTTTTCAAAATTTGAAATATTTTCCATCGTCTTTTAGATTCTTTTTTATTATCATATTATTGTTATTATTGATTATCACAGTAAAGAATCATTGAATGATGAGACTCCTCGCACCACTCCAAGTGAAATACCTAGCAGAATTTTATCTTTTTGCTTATTTTGCTATAAGCTGGGTTGGTTAAGTTTGATTAGGTTGGAGCAGCAGTTTTGTGCCTAAAGTGTACTTGAGCTCAAATAACTACCTATTGTGATACCACGGATTAGCGTTGTTCACACGCGGATCAGAAATATTTTCAAAAGGACGACAGTGGTCACCGTACGAGCAACGATAAAAACAACAGTTCCCTCTTTCAAGTGAAAGTGAATCAACCTGACAATTCTTAAAGCGTAGTCAAGTCCATAATTTTGCAGTATGACACTTTGTCAGATAGGTAAGAAAAGGGGTCTCAAAGATTTTTAATATTCTCAGGTTATGAAAAATAGATTGAGGATTGGGATATGCGATGAAACGGCTTTTATTATACTCATTGGAGCATATTACATGATACGAGTATAAAATTAACGTTTTTGTTTTGGATTTTATTTCAAAATGTTGGATACTTTTTATACAGAATTTTCACTATATTACCAATATATTTTTATAAAACTTTTTTTAAGTTACGTATTATATAGTGTCGTATGATCAGGGATAGGTGTAATATTTATGCATTATATTGCGATAAAAATGCATGATTGATTTGTTTAATACTGCATATTAACAAAGCAAACTTATGTCAAATAATAAAATAATAAATTGAAATCATTTTTATATTAAAAATTGAAACCCTATATAGATATTGCGATAATCGTAAATATAGTAATAAAATTATTGACGCATGTTTGCTATTGCATTGAATTTTTGGTGTCCATTATGCATATATTTTTTTTATAGATTTTAATAATCATAAACTTAAATGAATTTCTATTAATATTATACTTTTCAATACAAGTTTCTTTAAATAAAATTGTTGATTACATGAGTAAAATATTTATTTATTGATTCTAATAAAATTTATGTAATTAATTAAGAACTTTTTGTATGTGGGGTCAGAACCTATATGTTAATAACCATTCATGTTACTGATAACAAACGGAGTAGTGATTCCCCCCAATTTAATTATGGCTCATATTTCAGATTTTAACATCAATATTTTTAAAGCAATTTTTATTAATGAATTAATTAATTGACATTGAACGTACAACGAATTGTGATTAGTTATCAATTCTCATAGATTTAAAATTTTTGTTTTCCGCAAAAAGTATAGCTTGTTTTTTAATATTTAATCAATATGTCATGTTGCTGTTAGAAGACGACAGCTCATAGACTTCCTCAGTTGATGCTGCTGCTATGCAGTGATTAAAAATCACTTTATACCATAAGTAGTGATTACACATTAGTTGTAAGCATAAAGACATATCATATTTACTTAATTATATTAATAAAATACTAATTGCACAAACTTTTACATTGATTACATCGATCCAAACTTTTTACATCGATTAATTGAAATACACGCAATCATTACTGACTGTACTACTTAATTAACAAGTTATGTTTCCCTATCCCCTTGCCAATTATCTAAACTCGCTCATTGACACCCCTACTTTCTGGCTTAGATGAAAACCTCTCGCTCTAATCTCTCTCTCTCTCTTGACTACTGGAAGGGGGTTGTATTCGCTGTTAGCGGCTGCAATCTTCTATGCTCACTCCCAAGAATTAGTTTTAATGCGTTCAAGTCAACTTTGGCTTTCGCTGCTTTCCACCTACTGCAAAAAAAAAAAACATTGGAACATAACTTCCAATGCAAAAC